GGACAGGATGGGAGAATTGTAAATCAGGTCTTTTGATGGGTTTTGTCCCTGCATGGTAACTGAATGCCAATCTGATTGTCAAGTTTTTTTGTTCCTTTGAAATTGTACTTAAAAAACCCCAGTGGTATGAGATGCTTTGGATTTTTTCCTCTCTTGGAAGCCCCCCTCCACAGGGCCGGCTCTGGCTGGAGTTCTTTGACTATAATAAATCTTTTTAAAGCTGTCTGCTTGTCCACTTGGAAATTCTAGTTCCATGTGAGACAAGGAACCGAGGTAATAGTAATAATAATTTCTCTGCCACAGTTTTCCCATAATAATACTGCAAGTGTTGATTTGATAGCTCTAATGTCTACTTAGTGATTTATGGGCAGGTAGCATAGACAGCATGGATATGCTGAACAAAAGGGTGATTCACATTCTCTGTGTGACTGAGCAGAACTCACAGGCTTTCATGACACTTCTTAGAGTGCTGTACAACTTAAAACTTAGGAGGTGTTTACTTCTGTAATTTTCCAGTTAATGCTTTCAGACAGCTATTGGCTATGGGTAAGAGAAGCCATTGGATAATACAAAACCACAGGTAAGTGGGGAGTACCATATATGCTGTTTATTCTGTTTATTAGCCTCACCTTGTGCCAAGCTCAGATTCACTCCTCCTCTGTCTCATTCAGTCGCTCTGGAGGTGAGCTCTGCTCTCTACATCATCTGGGCTTCCTGGCCCACTGGCTTCCACTCAGTTTGGCCAATGGGAAGCACTTGCAGGGGTTCAGATTATGGGAAGAGAGGTTGGCATATTTTCCCTGCTTTTTCTCCAATGCAGGAGTACATCTTAGATAGTACTGGAAACAGCTTCTTGCCTGCCCTTGGATATCTTCTTGCCACTGAAAATAGCTTCTTTCCTGACTCTGGAAATCTCTCTTCTGTTTCACAGAATCCTTTCAATGACATTCCCTGAGGCAGTTGCCTTAAGGGAATGCCTGTTCTCTTATTCCCTTGCCTATGGGGTATGGAGGCCCATAGAAGAGCTAAATCACAGCATGACCCAGGGAGAATTGAATTAATTTCTAAAGGAAAATAGTAAACAGACCAGATAGTAAACAGCAACTACTTTTCAGGTCTTTCAGAGAAGCAGATCTATAGGGAATATTGAAGACCTAGATCAGAGATTGGAGAATTACAGTTTGTGGATCAACAGTCTGTTGCCTCTTTTTATATGGCCAGAGACCTAAAAATAATGTTTATATTTTAAAATGATTGAAACAAAACACATTCAAATTTCAGTGTCCATAAATAGACCTATTGGAACATAGCTATGTCTTTGGTCTGTGACTGCTTTCACGTTAAGGTGAATAGTCATGAATACTGATATCTATCCCTTTACAAAAAACTTAATGATAACCATTGTTTAAATTGGGGATAATGTTAGGAAATACCACCATTGAATTGTGATATCAATTTTAATGGAAATAATGAAATCCAAATGAGGCAGGGTTTAGGTGGTGATACATAATCATCAAAGAATCAAAATCGTCACAATTTCTTTTTAAAAATAGCATGTATTTTCATTTTATTTGAAAGGCAGATAGAGTTAGAGAGAATCTTCCATCTACTGGTTCACATCCCAAATGCCTACAAGAACTGGGGCTAGACCAGGCCAAACCAGGAGCTGAGAATTCAATCTGCGTCCCCTACATGGGTGGCAGAGACCCCAATGCTTAAGGCATCATTTGCTGTCGCCTAGGGTATACTTTAGCAGGGAGCTGGAATTGGTAGCAGAACAGTGACTTGAACCCAGTTACTTGAGTATGGGGTGGGGGGCATACCAAGTGGAGTTTTAACCACTGCATCAAATAACCTCCCCTAGGATAAGATTTCTATAATAGACAGAATCAAAATGGTCAGCTATTTTAACTCTGGTGATTGGTGGAAGTAGTTAATTGATCATGGGTCACAGAATAAATGTATATGCTGCCTATTAAGTACTGCTTGAACTATATCATCTTTTGGGTACGCACATGACATATGGGAATTCACTTGCCATTGCTAGGCTTAAATCAGTTCAGAACTTCAGGGATCATTGAGGGGAGGTTGGCCTATGGTGGATACTCTTGTAACAGTCACATATATATATTACAAAATTTCCTCTGGGCCTTTCCTTTAAACCATTTATATGGTGACTGTGTACTGGAGAAGGGAACTTTCCAGATTTCCAGATGTGATAAGATACTGAGCTTGGTTGATGCTTTCCAAGCTGATTATCAAATAATTAACATGCCATTGCAGTCTCTTATAAAGAATTAACAGAAGAGGAAAAGTTGAATGACTGGTTTACATGTGAATGTGCATTAGATGCTAGTACTGGATAGTAGTGAAAATGATTTTTTCTGATTCATATAATATGATTCATATAATAAAATCTGTGGTAGTCAGTGGTGAAGGGAAGCTTCCTTGTGAGCAGTCCTTTGAACAGTATATCTGGTGGTCTGCTCTTCTTAGAAGGGAAGATGATCTTAAATATTAATCTGCAGTGATGTGCATGAGCCTTGCCAACAGATTGGCTTGCTGGGAAATGTCTTAGATAATGAGAAGGATGGTGACAAGATGGTCTAGGACAGAGTGGATGCCATTTACTTGTAAGCTTTCAGTAAAGATTGAAAGATGATTTGTTTGTTTATTTATTTATTTTTTGACTGGCAGAGTTAGACAGTGAGAGAGAGAGAAAGAAAGGTCTTCCTTCCGTTGGTTCACCCCACAAATGGCCACTATGGCCAGCGCTGCACCGATCCAAAGCCAGGAGCCAGGTGCTTCCTCCTGGTCTCCCATGCAGGTGCAGGGCCCAAGCACTTGGGCCATCCTCCATTGCCTTCCCAGGCCTCAGCAGAGAGCTGGAAAGGAAAAGGAGCAATTGGGACAGAACCGGCGCCCCAACCGGGACTAGAACCTGGGGTGCTGGCGCCACAGGCAGAAGATTAGCCTAGTGAGCCGCAGCGCCAGCCTGAAAGATGATTTGTTTTATGGATATCAACCTCTTTTGTCAGCCACCAGGGTGCTTTATAATCTTGTGGGTACACACATGGCATGTGGGAATTCACGGGTTATCATCAACTCCAGGCTTAAGCCAGTTCAGAAGTGGAGGGGTAGTTTAGGAGAGGCTGGGTCCCTTTGGAAAAGCTCTTGTAAATCTTCTCAAGAGACTAAGTTATTGCTGGGCATGGTGCCAAGGATGGCAGTTACACATTGGCTCAACAGCATGGACTCCCTGTTGTGAAGGTTCTTTTGGCTACCCCAGTTGCTGAGTGTCATACCTATCACAACAGAAGCTAATACTTAGCTCTCAGTTTGGCTCCATTTTTCAGTGGAACCAGCCAGACATCAAGTAATAAATTGAATATGTTAGTTTTCTACCGTCATTACTATCTTCAGAAGATATGTATTCCAGATGCAGATTTACCTTTCTTTCCCACTTTATTCTGTCAGCACAGCTATCTACCACTGAGAAACTCACAAAATTCCATGGTGTTCCTTATATTATCATCTTCAACTAAGAAACTAATTTCATAATGAATGAAGCACAGCAATGAGATATGGCCCGTGGAATGCACTGCTCTTCCCACCTACTCATGATCAAAAAGCAGCTGGACTGATATGGCAGGAGAAAGGTTATTAAAGACTAAGTTACAAATCAGCTTAGAGACAGCGCTTTGCAAGGCTTTAGTGCTGTTCTGCAGGAAATTATATGTACTTCATATCAGCAGTATTTGTAGACATTTCCCTGTAACTGGAACATATATTCTGGGAACCAGGGAGTGGAATTGTGAGTGACCCATCTCAGTGTTAGACTTAATTTAGAATTTCTCCTCATTTCTACAACCTTGGTCTTGGTGAATTTGGAATCCTACCACCTATGGAGGAATGTTCCCATTGGCTATACAGTTTTTATGAATTGAATTAAAGAAAATCTTCCCTTTTTTAAGTCTCCTGAGGCACTGAAGCCCAACAGGGCTTACTTACTTTGGGCTGCTTACTTTGGTTTCCTTACAGTGAAGCCTGATTCTTATTACCAAAGGGAAGTTGGGTTACTGTTAAACAAGGGGATAGGAAGAACTAGATCTGAAATGTAGCCATGGGAACATCTTGCACTTGGGAACACCTGGCATACTACTGTTAAAAGGTTTTTTAAGAAATTCTTTGGAACATTAAATCTTAGAGTGTTTGTTGGAGCACATAGAGACTGGAAGTAGTATAGGACTCTTATAAGGTGATTGAAGTGAAAGCTTTTACAGTGTGAGTGAGCAAGAAGAGCAAATCAATTATTTCATTGGTTAAAGTTTGAGCAATAACCTGTCCAATTGGGAAATTCAACACTGTATAACTAATGTCCAGTTGGCTGCCCGTGTTTGAGCTTTAAAGTTCATTTTCTTTTGAATTAGATGCTTAAAGGAAGTATGCTTGAGTTAGATTTTTTGGTTTGCTTACATAGGAATCCAAGATGATGTAGCTACCTTGTTCTAATGGCCTCTCATTTAATTATTTTAACATTATGTATGAGATCTACAGAAAGTTCATGGAAAATATATTTTTTAAAAAACTATGCATGCATTTCAAAATTTGTTCTGCACCAAAATTTTTAAATTCCCTTTTCCATGAACTTTTTGGAGTGTCCTTGTATTTGCTTATTGCCTTATTGAACTGTAAGCTACATAAGAGTAATAAGACTTTGTCAGTGTTTTTTTGGTTGCCATATCATTAGCCTTTATAATCTCATAGTCACTTAATAAATGTTTGCTGAGTAGGTGAATACACACTGGTGATTCTATCAACTGAGAGCTAAAATTGTAGTCTCTATTCTAGGATTGTATCTTGGTTTCATTACTTCCTACTTATTTGGTGAAAACTTGAGTGCTGAAACTTAACTTATGTCCAAGTCTCATAGCCACAATGCCACAATTCCAGGTAGAAATTCTCTGAAAATGTTTTTTTTTTGTTTGTTTGTTTTTTTTTTTAAAGTCTGGCACAAAATCATTTAGTGGCAAAACTTGACCTGTTTTGAATGAATTCAAATTATTTATGGAGTTTATTTTTCCAACTTAATGTGATTATTCATAGACTTCAGAATCTTTTTTTTTTAATACTTATTTATTTATTTGAAAGGTAGAGTTACAGAGGCAGAAGAAGAGAGAGAGAGAGAAGTCTTCTATCTGCTGGTTTACTCCCCAGATGGCTGCAATGTCCAGGGCCAGGCCCATGTGAAGCCAGAAGGCTGGAGCTTCTTCCAGGTCTCCCACATGGGTACAGGGGCCCAAAGACTTGGGCCATCTTCCACTGCTTTCCCAGGCCAGAGCATAGCAGAGAGCTGGATTGAAAGTGGAGCAGCCAGGACTTAAACCTGTGCCCATATGGGATGCCGGCACTGTGGCAGCTTTACTAGCTACGCCAGCCTCTCACTACACAATCTTAACGTATTTGAATAAAGAGTTCTTCTCTAGGACTTGTGGATTTTATGTCCTTAATGGCATATCTCTGTAGTATCTTTCTTAAAATCTATAAGGAGTTGGGGAAGCAGAATTTTAAGACACATTTGGTTACAAGATGTTTGAATTTGAAATTTGTACCAATATTAGCACCTGCCTTTAAGGGGTTGTTGTGTAGACTCAATGAATTAACATATGTAAAACTCTACTACATAGCACAAAGTAAACAGTAAATTTTCCTTAGTATTATAAGACCTTTTTTTTTAAAGTATTATTTTATTTATTTAAAAGTCAGAGTTACACACAGAGAGAGAAGGAGAGGCAGAGAGAGAGGTCTTCCATTCCGCTGGTTCACTCCCCAAATGACCGTAACAGCCAGAGCTGAGCTGAGGAGCCAGGAGCTTCTTCCAGGTCTCCTATGTGGGTGCAGGCGCCCAAGGAGTTGGGCCATCTTCTACTGCTTTTCTGGCCATAGCAGAGAGCTGGATCAGAATAGGAGCAGCAAAGACTCGAACTGGCACCTACATGGGATGCTGGCACTGCAGGCTGGGGCTTTAACCCGCTGTGCCACAGTGCCGGCCCCAGACCTTTTGTTTTTTCTGCTATTGTGGGAGTGAGATCTATAATTCCATTTGTATTTTATTGGAGACCTGTTTGTCTCTTTTAGCTCTTATCCTGATGACTGGCTAATGTATATTGTACCAGTTGTTGGTTGGTTGGGTTTTTTGTATGTTTGCCTTTTTTTTTTTTTTGAGACAGTTGAGGAGAGGAGGAGAGCTCATCAGGATTTATGGGAAGCTAGGCTTTGAAAGCCTGATCCCTGCTCTCAATACTCAGACTTGGTAAAAAGCCCTGTTTAGAGTTTACTATAACTATCTGAAGTCTTGTGTGAGGCCCAACAAAGTACCCAGCTTGGGGTAGAGCCTGGAAGCTGTTCCTTGCATACAAGCAAGGTATGCTGGGATTTGACTCCTTTACCTGCATCTCCTAATTGCTGCTTCTACTTCCAAAAAGTAGGTGACACTTGTGGGTTGAACTTGCAGCTTCATCATTAGTTGAGAGGGAACAGTACTGCAAATGAGTTTCTGGATCTCTTGAACCCTCAAAGGAACTTGTTTTGTTTCTCTTCTGTATATGTGTATTTATATATACAAATATATGTGTGTGAGTGTGTGTGAGTGTGTTTGTGTACTTTCTGTTTTGCTAGATACATATATTTTGTTGGATATAATTAACTCTAGGCGATAGTGAATAGCCTGTCTCCTCTTTGCAGCTTTGTTCTCACAAGGAAAAAACAAGACACAAAACAGACAGTGAATTATGGAGGCTTTTTTTCTTGAATTGGTGAAGACACTGGTAGCTGTTTAAGTTTCTCTTCTTTGAATCATATTTACATTTAGTCTTCTTGTATTAGAAGTATTATACCTTTTTTTGAAGAAGTTTATGGAAAGTGGAACTAAAAACTAAATTTTCGTCCAAAAATTTTGAAATCCATGTATCCTAGGGTCTTCAAAAATGTTTACAGAAAGTATGTATTGTTTTAAACAAACACTATGCGTGGATTTTAAAATTATTTAGCAGCAAAATAAAGTTATTTATCTGTCATATGAGAGAATCTGTGATGGTTTCACTCTACCAACTTTTTCATAATATCCTTCCTGCTACATTATGTGTTATAGTAAGAAGAAATGTTGCCCTATTGGGCAGCTCACAGGAATCCATACATAAAGGTAACTAGACACAGACAATTTAATTTTTTTATGCAGAAAGAAGCCAGAAGAAGCCCACAGAACTGAGCTCTACCAAGTGTCACAGTGAAAAAGCTTCATCGTTAATGTGCACCAATCATGCTTTTCATATAGTCATCTCTCTATCCATATTTTCTGAACATAGGCTAAAAGGTTAAGACCTACAGATAGAGAAGCATAAATAAGAGAAACTGAAATTCCTGCCTTCGGAGAGCTTACATTCTATTGGTGAAAAGCAGATAATATGCTAGTTAGTACATCCTGTAACTTATTGGAAAATCTAAGAGCCGTGGAGAAAGATAAATCACAGCAAGCTGGTAGGGCTGGGGGCAAGGGTAGCTTGCAATTTCTCCAATTTGGGGAAGGCTTCATGAGAAGATGACATTTGAGAAAAGTTTTGACAAACACAAGGAAGAAAGTCATGTATATTTCTGGAGAGAATAGTATTCAGGCAGAGGGACATAGCAAGATAATGTTTTTCTCTATTTTTATTTTTCTTCTCCTTTCTTCTGGATATAGCAGATAAAAGTTACTTAACAACCTGGCAACTCGGAAAATTGTTTCAGTTTTCACCTCCATATCCATGCACAGCATAACCTTTAAGGACTGCATACTTTAAAACAAATACTCATGTTTGTAATAAAACATATTTGTAACTTTAAGTACTCCTTTTGGCTATACAAGAATGAGAATGCAAAAATTAGCCACTGTCAATAAATACATGTTCTAATAAATTTACCTTGATGCCCATACTTTGAGTTAGCATATGTAGATTATTGGTTAGATCCAAGCAGCACGTCTGATTGGGCCTCAGCAAAGACAAGTTCCATGAACTGATAGAAAATCTGACAGACTATTTTAAGCAAAAATGGCTTCTTTTTTCTTCTATTTGTATCTTGCTGCTTATTTATTGGCTAAATGGTGGCCTAGGTTTAAACTGTGATTTCCTCTATACTCTCCACATTGATCTACTTCATAAAATAGAGGAAAATGATCTAAAAGCAAACATGGACTTTTGCTTCAATGGGCTGCTTGGTTTTATTAGTTGATATCAATTTGAAAGCACATTGTTCTCTAGAGAGAATATACGTCTATTTTTATTTTTTTAAAAAAGAATTTAACAAATAACTTTCAACATATGCCTAATTCTACTGGGGAAAGGCATCAATAAAACAGTATTTGGGATTTAGAACAATGATCTAAAAATAGCTCTTTTCCTCTTTTGGAAAAAAAATCACTGTGAAATGATTTTTCCTTCTCATTCTGAGCATTGCATAAAGCAAAACCAATTCGCAGCGACTCTAAGTATATTCTCAAAAAGAAATCTCCAGTCATTTTCAGCTCAGGACCCTGGAGACCTCATTATACTGCCATTACAAGCAGACCTGCCTTTCTGCTAGTGGATTGACCAAGTGGCACAGGGATTGCTATGCAGATACATTTCCTAGTAGCTGGCATACATACAAATATGCCCAAGCATACTTCCCTCTGCGTAGTCATTGTGTTTCTGGAAAATTGTGCTTTGATTTCATTGTATTTTAAAAAACTTACACCAGCGATTCTCCCAGGGCATACTCCCTAGGCAGGCTTATCAGTATCACTGATGTTTAGAAGTCTTTGTGAAAATTCCATGTTTGGTGTCACCTTCTTTTGCTACCTCATTTGACAGGAACTGCTTCCATTGTGGGTGGGAATCTCCACTGTGAAGATTATTATTATTCTTTGGAAAATCACTCTGGAAAAAAAAAAAAAAAAACTAAATGAAAGATCTCCACGAGTGAGATCCCAGTGGAAAGAACGGGTCATCAAAGAAGAAGGTACCTTTCTCTGAAGGGAGGAAAGAACTTCCACTTTGACCATGGCCTTGTCTAAATATGATCAGAGTCAGTGAACTCAGGGGGCTTCCATAGCCTTGGCACCTCATGACAAGAGCCTAGGGTGATTACTGATGCCATAAACAAGAGTGTCAATTTGTTAAGTCAACAACAGGTGTCACTGTGCACTTACTCCTCATGTAGGATCTTTGTCCTTAGTGTGCTGTACATTGAGATTTAATGCTATAACTAGTACTCAAACAGTATTTTTTCACTTTATGTTTCTGTGTGGGAGCAAACTGTTGAAATCTTTACTTAATGTATGCTAAACTGATCTTCTGTATATAAAGAGAACCGAAAATTAATCTTGATGTGAATGGAAGGGGAGAGGGAGTGGGAAAGGGGAGGGTTGCGGGTGGGAGGGACGTTATGGGGGGGAAGCCATTGTAATCCATAAGCTGTACTTTGGAAATTTATATTCATTAAATAAAAGTTTAAAAAAAAAAAAGAAAATGTGATGGCTCTCATAAGAATTAGAGTGAAGGATGAAAACTCCAAGAGGGTTCTTTCTCTATGATCACACAGAATGAAGTCTGAACCTCAATCTTGTGGCGTTTCACATAACTTGTTCTAATCCTTTGTTCTTATGTATGTCCTCTGCTGTGAGGAACAAAGTGAGGATAAGAGTGGAGATTGTTTGTTTTGTAATATCTTGGACATAGCAACTGCTCAATAAATATTTAAGTGGTTCAATAAATAATTTCAAAGATACTGTATTTGCAGAGGTTAAAGTAGTATAAGGTTATCTCAGTCTTTGAGGGATTTAAAATCTAATTAGCCGAATAAGGCATACATATGTAAGGAGGAAACACAGATCTTGGCAGTTTTCTAAGGAGAATAAATCCTGTTAAACAAGAGACCATTTTAACTTGCTGAGCACCTTGATATATTTGCATATACAAATGTAGGCCTGATGTTGATTTTGATGGTAAGCAGTGGAAGGGATTAGATTTCTCTACACAGTAGAATAGTACAAAAATGGGAGTTTCTACGCAGTGCTCCATAATGGGGATGGGGTAAAAGAAGGTGAGTGAGAGGAGAGAGGAGGAACTGAAGTGAAGCTGGGGTGTAAAGAGCTAAAAGGTCAGTAAAATTTCCCAATATGAATTTCCAGATTTTAATATTATGTTGCCTTTTTTTATTATTGTGGTATAGATCTCTGCTCTGTCACCCTTGTTTCTTAATAATGACTGGTGAATCCAGATCTGTGCCTACAAGGCAGACGCATTACTTATAGAATATACACAATTTCTGAATCTGCATAGTACAAAATGCAACCAACTAGACATCTCTATGATATAAATTTCTTCTATTTTCCAAACTTTTGCTTGAATCTGTCATTTACACAAAACATGTATAAATAGGTTTTTTTTTTTTCTGTTTTATAGTTGGTTGTTTTTACTTTGCAGATCTCAGGAAAGAGATTGAGTTTTATTTCTCAACTGATCCGGGGCAGAATAGAAATAGCATGTATAGCAGGTGATCTATATACTCAATTAGTTGCAAAAGAAGGGGTTCAGAGGCAGAGGAGACTATGAGCACAAAAGCCCCTCAAGAATTCACTAGACTCTTGGTATATGGGGACTTGCAGGAGTGGAGTTTGGGACTCATTTAGATAGATCTTAATGGGTAGATAGGTTTTAGCTAACATCAGAAATATATGAAGAGAATATATGAATATATATTGATATATGAAGAGAAGAAATTGAAATTACATTGCAATTTATTATAAGTGATGAATGACAAAATAAACAGCAGAGAAGTTTAAAGTGGGGGAAGTCATTTGAGCTGAGTCACAGGGAAACATTTCTTGAGGGAATATGAACTCAATATGAAACTTGTGAAAGTCAGTAGACTTCCAATAGGGGATTATTACTCATAATATTATTTGTTATAGGAATTCTGCTTTAAGTATTTATTCAGTTTCTATAATATGTATGTCAGGCACTATACTAGAGTGTTCTGATGCAAAGATCATTCAGCCATATTTGTCCACAAGGAACACAAAATCTAAAAGCACAATGTCATAAATAAGTAATGATAACATATTACTGTGGCATGTGTCCTTGACTGGTATATAAGTGAAGAACACACATGGGAGTGGTTCTGTCCTCTCGTGTTATTTTAGGGTGGATTTCACTAAGAAGTTGACATCTGAACTGTGCCTGAAGGCCTCATGTAGATTGAATAGGCAGAGCACAAGAAAGGATGTTTCAAATAGAAGGAACAATGTAAGCAAAGCTAAGAGACTTGAAGTGCAGGTTATGTAAAGTACAGAAGAGTCCAAGGCCGAAGGGCAGGGAATGTATTGCAAGAAGCCTGGAATATTCCTGGGCAGCAAGGAGGTGAAAGGTTTGAAGGGAATTATTTAGAGAGAGCAACAAGCCATCACAGATTTCTAAGTTGGCAAATGTGATTGGATTTGTTTTGGATAGATAATTGATTGGAGAAGAGGACAAAACAGGAGAATTTAAGGGCTAAGACTTTCCTGAATTTCATCTGTGCCAGGTACGTTCTCAGTATTTGACACATATTAATTGCTCGTGACAATGCCAAGAGGTACGTCGTATTGTTAATCCCAGGTTCCATAGCAGCACTGGCAGAACTAAGTTTGAAGCCCTTTGTTCTGACTGCAGACAATGCATTATTAAGTACTACAGTATACTGCCTCTTAAAATTAAGAAATTAAAATTAAGGCAAAAGTCCAAGGTAGAGATTATGAGATCTTAAAATAGGAAAATGTGTACAGGAATGACAAAATGGAGACAGAGCCTGAAGCCATGACAGGGAGTTTGGGAGAAATAAATAAAAAAAGATGAATTGGTTTTCTTGTTTGGGTTGCCAGAAATATGTTGAAGTTATTAATTAAAAGAAACACAGGCATATACTAAAAAATAAGAAAAAATACAGCTTTTCAATATGTCATCATTTTATGTACTCAAAACATATCTAACCAAATGGTGACATTGACTTCAATATATATGGACAACTTCAAATTCATGAAAATAATAAAATGTAGATGTTACAAAATATTAAATTTAAACCTGTACTACATAATGCCAAAAATTCAGATACAAAGAGGAGTTTCAGAAGTTAATTAATCAATCACCGCATTGTTTTGTGTCACCTGATGAGAACATCTGGAAGACTGAATGAGTTTCACTTTTAATATACTTTCTTTGCTATTATATAGCTGCCAGATTTAAGAAATGAGGCCAATCTCAGAGATATGTATGCAAAAAAGCAGACAATAATAGCATCTGTGGCTGTTTCTGGATTGTAAAAACACTTAGCCGCTGGCACGTGCATATAGATTGCTGAATTTTGTGAAATAATAAAAATAATAACGCTTTATATTGTTTTGCATAGTTTTCAGTGCTTTCCCAGGGGGAAAATACAAAAACCAATATGCATGTGTATTCCAAAATGATTAGTAATACAGCAATATGTATGGATTTTTAATATTTTTATGTACTTCCTGAATCTCTGTAATGTATTCAGAGCTGAAATAACAGGGATCACAGCGAGTTCAGCTGAGTCAGATCATACATGTTTTTTTCCTTGTATATTTTATAAACTAGGGAGAATGTTAGGATGTTTTATTTCTTGCTGTATATGTAGGATGACCGATTTAGAAGATGACCTTCCTTTGCTGGGCCCTATGCTTTCACACTGTTGATGTTTTCCACTTAGTTTTTTGATTTGTTTCTTCATTCAGTGTGTGTTCAGCTGTTTCTGTGTGCACCATTATGACATTTCATTTGATGCCACTGGTGGATGGGGATTCTGCCTACTCATGCATGGTATGGCATGGCGGAGAGACAGACAGAAGTGTGCTGAATGAAAGACTCTAGTTGAAAATACTGAGTAATGATATACTTTTAGGAATGCCTAGATAATTATTTAAAACATAAATCCCATCAATAAATTTTATGTGTCGGTACACATCATATAAAGGGACTTCAAAAATTCATGGAGAAATTTATTTATTTTGGTCCACAACTTTTTTGTGTCTTTAAAAACAGCACATATCAGATTTTTCTTTTTTCCATATTTTTTTTCTTATTTGAGAGGTAGAGATACAGAGGGCTCTCAGCTTCTGGTTAACTCCCCAAATATCTGCAACAGCTGGGAAAGGAGTGGGCCAGAGCCAGCAGCAGGAAAAGCAATCCAGGTCTGTTTCATGGGTGGCAGAAGCCCGATTACTTGAACCGTTGCCTCTCATGGTCTCCATTGGCAGGAAGCTGGATTTCGATGTTAGAGGCAGGCATTGAACATAGAGTAATCCATTGTGGGAGTCTTAGCCAACCTTTTAACTGCTAGGCTAAATTTTGAAATCCATGCATGATTTTTTCATAGCTTACATAATCCACAGACTTCTTGAAGAAACTTCCTCTATGAAAATTGAGGCAAATGATACTTTTGTTTCACATATCCCCAGGAAAGTGTAGGTAAGTAAAATCTTTATTCCTGAGGAATTTAAAGAATAGCAATCGATAGTTGTATTTTGACATAATAATATCAGCAGTAATGATTAGCTAGTGAATATCTACCCTGCTAGGAACTTAGCAGTTGGAAGTGCTAGGCACTTAAATTCTTTTGGTTTTTCATATCAACAACCACCTAGTGAGTTAGTAGTATTATTCCTATTTTACAGATAAAGAACACAAACTCAAAGAGATCTAGTAACTTACTTGAGGTCGTGCTCTGAGTAAAGCAAGCCTTGAACACAGTTGTGCTCTGAAGGCTGTGTGTGCTCTTTTTATTCCTGCTACACATGGACAGCATCACAAGACACTCAGCAGGGTGAAAGGTATCAAAGGCTGAAAGAATTTCAATGAATGAATTATAGAAGTCGTTTACCGATTAAGAGTGCAGCAAAGATCCCCAAAACACTGCATTTATGTTCAGTATTTAAGCTTAACTGCTCACATACTTGAATTTAACCAGAATTGGCAACTTTTTAATAAAATCTGAGGCTTTCTTCATGAATTGCCATTTCTGTTAGAATGTAGAAAACTAAATTGGCTCACATCCAGGTGAGCTTGGTCAAAGTAATGACCAAGTATCTGTTAATGCACTCAAGTCAATTCATGATTTTTCTTCTTTGCCTTATTAGACTATATGTGATTTCCTGGTGGTTTATAAAAATACCACAATGTTAGTGAAGAGAAAGGGTCTGATGTATGAGCGTTCTCTGTCTACCTTGGCTGTGTCATATCGTCTTCATTGGTGGTTATTGGCATCTGCTGCTGGTACCCCTGGTTCACGGTTGCCAGGTCCAAGTGCTTCAAGTTTTCTCCTTCAAACTCCGAGTTCCATCATCAGACTTACCTATTTCCTCTTAGAGGACCTAGAAAACTCCTTTCCTTACAACACTCTAGGACTCCCATGACTTTGCCAACCTGCCTGTAGGCTCGTCTGTCTCTCTTGCTTTGTCAGGAGTAACCACTTTACTGGCAGGTACTATGTTGGATGGAGTCCTCCTCTGTGCATTCTGAAGCCTCTCAGGCCTTCTCAGGGGCACATGTCTTCTCTGCTCTGGGATGCAAACTTATCTGCCTTTCTATGTTTCCGTGCCCTTGACTCAGCTCTTCTGTAGGGGCAGGGTACAGAACCTATTGCTTAGAGAACCGTATAGGAGATAACTATTTTAATTTCATTTCTGTTTCTGAATATATATTCTTCACCAGCCCAGAAATTTTTCCCCTCTGGGAAGTTGGAAAATCTGAAGAGGAATCTGTTCTTTCAACTTCTGTTTATGGGTCCTTCAGAGTTTTGGCTCTTTGTGTTTAAAGCTAAGCTTTTAGTGTCCAAAAAGATTTTTTAAAAAGCTTGATTTTTGCAAATAAAAAGCACCTTGCTTTCAAAGCTATTGTGTTTGCTCTGAGTTTCACAATTTATAGATTCAATTGACTTATACTCTTAGCTATATATACCTTTCCACCGAGGAAACAAATGCCAACTGATTTAGTGAGGAAAATGTTGTAGGGCAATGAGCATAATAGTGGAAAACAAAACACTTTATTAACAGATAATTTTATGTCTTCACATTAAATTCCATGCTAAATATTTTTCTCCCTTCAAGAAACACCACCCTCTCCCACCTCACCACCCCCACATGTAGGCATTAATGGGATTGGGGTGTCTGCAGTCTGTTTCTCCAGATGTATACTCCCCCACACAAGACAGTACACAGATATAGGACCATTTCATCGTATGTGTCTGGCATTCCAGTGTGTATAGGAAACCTGGTTACCTCCCTCAGCTGGAAGCATTATATTCCTCAAGTAACTCCTTTGATTTGATGTTTGCTAGGTGGCAAGACTTGAAGACAGGAACAGCTTTCCTGAAAAAGGAAAAGAAAAGAGGCATGACAGCCCTTTTAGAAAAGTAACATATGCTTCTCCTGGTCTTTTTGCCAGTGCTATGTCTCTGCAGAGTCCTAGTCCTAGTTCTCAAAGACAAGTTGGAAATTAGACTCTCTAGAGCCTTGGCTCTTACTGGGACAATTTGACTCATATTTATGCCTCTCTGGTATTTTGAAACCCTGAAAACCTACTACAGTATAAAATTCACAATATTTATAAAGGCAAAACAAAAGAGAGGAGCTTGTTCTTTTAAAACTCTTAGTATGCTGGCACTGCAGCTCACTAGGCTAATCCTCCGCCTTGTGGCGCTGGCACACCGGGTGCTAGTCCCGGTCGGGGCGCCGGATTCTGTCCCGGTTGCCCCTCTTCCAGGCCAGCTCTCTGCTGTGGCCCGGGAGTGCAGTGGAGGATGGCCCAAGTGCTTGGGCCCTGCACCCCATGGGAGACCAGGATAAGTACCTGGCTCCTGCCTTCGGATCAGCGTGGTGCGCCAGCCGCAGCACGCTGGCCGCGGCGGCCATTGGAGGGTGAACTAACGGCAAAGGAAGACCTTTCTCTCTGTCTGTCTCTCTCACTGTCCACTCTGCCTGTCAAAAAAAAAAAAAAAAAAAAAAAAAAAGAAAAAAGAAAAAAAACCACTCTTAGTAGCTCTGTGATAGAATCTCTCTGCCAAGTTAGGTTTTGTTCAATACTTGCCACATAAACTGGAGTTGTTCAGTACCATCCTGGGAGGAGACTTGGTTCTTTTATCATTCAGCATATTTTTTTTATTTGACAGAGTTAGACAGTGAGAGAGAGAGACAGAGAGAAAGGTCTTCCTTCTGTTGGTTCACCCCTCAAATGGCCTCTGTGGTCAGAGCTATGACGAGCCGAAGCCAAGAGCCAGGTGCTTCTTGGTCTCCCATGCGGGTGCAGGGGCCCAAGCATTTGGGCCATCCTCCACTGCCTTCCCGGGCCACAGCAGAGAGCTGGACTACAAGAAGAGCAACCAGGACTAGAACCCTGTGACCATATGGGATGCCGGTGCTGCTGGTGGAGGATTAACCAAGTAAGCCACAGCGCCGACCCTCAGCACATTTTTGTTGCAAGCTAAATTAAGGTCTTTTTTGTACCTACTCTTTTATTTTTAATTTTTAAAGATTCATTTATTTTGAAAGTCAGAATTTTTTAAGAATTATTTTTTATTTATTTGAAAGGCAGAGTTACAGGGAGAGGTGGGGAGGTTGTTAGAAACAGAGGTCTTCCATCTGCTGGTTCACTTGTCAAATGGCCTCAGTGGTTGTGGCTCTCCACTCCGAAGCAAGGAGCCACTAGTAGTTTCTTCTGGGTCTCTCTTGTGGGTGCAGGAGCCCAAGTACTTTGGCCATCTTCTGTTGCTTTCTCAGGGAATTACCAGATTGCTGAATCGTAAGTGGAACAGCCAGGACTCCAACCTGCACCCAAATGGGATGCCTCTGTCACAGATGAGGCTTGCCCTACTATACCACAATGCCTCAGAGAGAGAGTGTGTGTGTGTGTGTGTGTTTGTGTGTGTGTGTGTGTGTGTGTGAGAGAGAGAGAGAGAGAGAGAGAAAGAGAGAGATTGATCTTCCATCCTCTGGTTCACTCCCCAGATGGCCATAATAGCCAGTAGGGCCAGGCAAAAGCCAGGAGCCAGGAGCTTTATTTGCATCTCCCACTTGTGTGGCAGGGGCCCAAACATTTGGGTCATCTTCTGCTGCTTTTCCAAGTCCATTAGCAGGGAGCTGCATCAGAAGCAGAGTGGTCAGGACTTGAACCAGCGTGCATAGGTGATGCCGGTGTCTCAGGCGGTACTTAATGCCGCAGTGCCAGTCCCTGTTTTTGTACTTTAACTCACAATAGAGTTACAGTCCCCATAAGCCTTTGGTCATTAATATCCATCCAAGCTGTCATCTGAGAGACAATGGATAAGTTCTCATACTGTGTGATTTCTGTCACAACCACAGGGTTCGTTTGATTTCCTAATGCCACTCTGAACCTCTTAGGAATAAAAGAACTTTGACTTTTTCCAGTTTTCCCTTAATTTTCACATATTCCCTCACCTATTTTAGCATCTTACTGTGATTTTGATTTACCTTTCCTTAATAACCAAGTGTTACTGGTCATGGCTGGGGTGGTGGCAGAGGCAGAGAGGCAGTGCAGGAGCAAGTGTTGTGGGTTCTTTTCCTCAGCTCAGTATAGAAATAAAAAGCCAGGAAACAATTTGCAAAGAAGCAGAAACTTTTATTTCATTGTCAAGCAACAGATAAAGCATCTGGTCCTAGAGGAGACCAGGTGAAGTACCCGAGTGGGACACTGGATTTCAGGAAGTGTCCAGGGTTTTTAGGGCATTGCACTCTGTTCATTGGGTCATTCTATTTGGGGTGCCCATTGGATGGGGGTTCCACATACAGTATGTTGGTTGGCTTGGGGCTCATGAAATAGTGGGGGTCTCCTGGAGACAGCTTGACTTTCCCCAGGGTCTCAACCCCTTCCTCTTTCAGTTCTGGATGAAAGATTGCAATCACTCCTAGATGCAGCACAAGAAACTATTAGTGGGGAAGATGCTAGTCGATCTGGAGACAAGCTTTCCAGCCACAGCTGGCACCCTGGTTGTGAAGGATGTTCTGCCTATGTCCGAGGGGCCCACAGAACACTCAGCCCCACTGGACGGCCTAACCAAGGATATTGAAAATGGTTTTCATGTGTTTGTTAGCCATTTGTGTCTATTCTCTGGAGAAGTGACATTCATGCTCTTTGTCTATTTTTAAATAAAGTTGTTCTTTCTTCTTTTTGGTTGATTTTTAGGAGTTTTAAACATTTATTCTAGACATTAACTGCTATCAGGCCTATGATTTAAAAAAAATATTTTTCCTATTGTGGAGAATGTCATTTAGTTTTTTTGGTGATGCCTTTTGGTGCACTAATTTTTTAATGTTGAAGAAGTCCATTTATCCATAGCCTCTTTTATATTTGTCTCCTTGGTATCATTTCTAAAAATACTCGGCCAAACCCAAAGTAATGAAGATCTAACCTCATCTTTTTATCTAAGTATTATAAGATTTTGGGTCTTATATTTAGTCATTGATCCATTTGAGTTACTTTTTGTATATCATAATGTTATGTGTGAAAATTCAGTTATCCCACCATCATTTGTTGGGAGTGTTTGTTTTTTTTCTTCCATTGAATAGTTTTGGTACCCTGTCAGACATCAGTTGGACATGGATGTATAACCGGAGAAGCAAAGGGTCCTTGTCTTCACACAAGAAAGAATTCGGGTGTGAGACAGAGAGTAGTGGAAACCAAAATAACAAGGTTTATTAGGGTAGGGATATCCATAAGAATGGATGGGCACCTCTCCAGACAGGACCTGAGAGAGAGTGCATAGTGCACATTTAGGCTGGAGTTTTTAAGGGGATGGGTTTTGCCTTCCCTCCCCCTCTCCTTCTTCTCCTCCCGAACAAAGGACTTGTTGGGTGTAAATATAAAAAATTCCTTTCTGAGTTTCCCCCCCCTGAAGTTATCAGACAGGGGAAGCCTGGCTAGCATTGCTCCGCTTTAGAGGAAGGATGTTTATCAGGCCAGGTAGAAGGGGCAGGACCCCTGGAAGTCATCAGGATCCAGGCAGGACTTCTGAAATGCAGATACTGGGCTGCACCTGAAAGGTTATCAGGATGACTTTGAGATGTGGATGCTGGACTACTGTAGATGTCAATTCCTTAGCCCTTTGTCACACACACATAAACTCATTTCTGACTTCCTGCCTAACAGATGTATGGGTTTGTTTCTGGTTGCTCCAATCTGTTCCATTGGTCTCTGTGTCTATCCTTATACCATTATCCTTTCAATCTTACCTCATTTTGAGCAAACTGCCCTTAAGTCTTTCTGCTTTGTGTTCAACTCAAAGGTTGGTTTATTTTTGTGTAGGTCTATATCTGGTAACTTAGACCTTGTCCCTTACTTTTCTAAGCCATGCATATAAACATAAATTCAATACATCTTTCTTTCTTTCTCTCTGCTTCTCCCCTGTTCCCACCCTCCCCCCGAAATATAACTCTTTCAAATAACATCCTATATTTGACTTTGAAGATTATGTTTCCTGGTAGGTTTATAGCCATCAAGAACTTAACTTTTAAAACATATGGATTTAAGAATTTTTGAATTGTCTTCTTTCTTTCTTTGAGGCAAAGAAATGCCCTGTGACTCAGTGGAGGTCATTTCATTGGGAAGAAAAATGTGTAAGAAGCTTACTGAGAGTCAGGAGAATCTTGTTGACAGTGAATTGTAATGATAGTGAATTTTGTCCTGCCACACTCATTTGTATCACTTTTGATGAAAAGCCATATAAAAAATATATATGTATTTATATATATAAAATCATCTTAGTTCAGAATGAAAATTTACAAAAGAGTGGGAATAAAAGCAGTAAAACAAAGAATAAGTTAAGGAAATAGATATTTTCAATGTTACCCTATGAGCAACAGTGTCAAGATTTTTCAAGAGAGTCTGAAGACTTAGTATTGCATACCACGTGAAACTAAATTGGCATAAAATTAATGGAATACTGTGGTCAAGAAATTCGTCATGAGGAAAAGCACCAGTATTTGATTGACATATTTCAGTTGACTTCATAGTTTGACCGTATAACTACCATATTTTTTTTTGTCTGTAGTTTTCCAGCGTGCTTGTTGGCCTATACATTATCAATGCACTAATTGGCACCTTTGTATCAAGGACAAAGTCTGAGTTCATATGAAAGTCTCAAGATGGAAACAGTTAAATTTTTTCAGGACAGTCATGATACTTCTAAATGATAAATCTGAATCCAGGGTAACACTTGCTTTGCATTTTTAAAGAAGCTGTATTAAGTAGCATTTTAAACAACAATGAAGCCAACAAACAGGATCTTTGCTCTCTCTGAAGAGAATTTACCTGGTCATTTACAAATACCATTCTAACACCATAGACATGCTGTGTTGTCTACCCACATAGTTTTCTTCATCCCTGAAGGAAGTCTCTGTGGGAGATGCCTCACAGCATATCCATGCTGCCTACTTGTGGAGAGTTTGACTCATTCGTTGGCATTTAGAGGAAGAAACTGTTATAAATCTCAGACATTTACAGTAATGTATTTCAAAATGTGTGTGTGTGCGTGTGTGCGTGTGTGCGTGTGTGTATTAGGATATTGAGGGAGCAGGAAGGGAAATTTGAGGAGAAATGAGAGAAACTGGTACTTACTGTCATGACACAGACTTTCCATAATGTTCTGATTTTTCTTAGCATTTTCTAGGGCAGAGGTTTTTTTCTCATGGTGTGATAGATCTAAAAAAGATTAATGAATAAGTTTCAGGAGTACCAAAAGCTGCCTGAAATAGTATGACAAATGTATTGCATATGTGAATTTTTCTGGATAGAAGTTTTATAGTTTTCTCAAGTGTTTCTGATTCAGAAAACTCTTAAGAACTAATATATAGAAAAGTTGGCAGAGAGTTTATTATTTTAAAATACAGATTTGTTGGGGAGAACTGTGCTAAGGAGAATTCTGAGGTATAGCAGAAAAGACTGATAAGCAATATCCATAAGGTATGTGTGTGGTAGGGGAAGTATTTGCTATCTGTAATTTAAAGTGAACTGTTCCAGAAAGTTTGCCAAATCCTTCTGTCCTTAAGGGATTATTTAAGAAGCATTACCTAGGGTTGAAGGAAAGTGCAACACAAAAGGGATATTTCAGCTTAGGCTATGCATGAATTAGAAAATTGATTTTAAAATACTTGATCATGGCTGTAGATTTTTAAATAGTATTCCATTCGTGATATTTTGTATGTTGGAACCATTTGTATTTTTTCAGCAGTTTTTAAACAAATGTAGAATTAAGTTAAGAAATATTCTTTTGGGGCTGGTGTAGAATTAAGTTGCAGTGCTAGCATCCCTTATGGGTGCTGGTTTGAGTTCTGGCTGCCCCAGTTCTGATCCAGCTCCCTGCTAATGTGTCTTGGAAAGCAGCGGAAGATGGCCTAAGTCTTTGGGCTCCTGCCACCCATATGGGAGACCTGGGAGAAGCTCCTGGCTTCTGGCTTCAGCTTGGCTCAGCCCCAGCCATTATGGCCACTTGGGGAGTGAACCAGCAGATAGATGATCTCTTTCTCTCTCTCCTTTCTCTCTCTCCTTCTCTCTCTCTGTATCTCTGTCTTTCAAATAAATAAAAAAAATCTTTAAAAAATATTATTTGGTGGCAAATTCAGCAGTTAAATATATGAACACAGCTATTGATTAATTTAATTGCAACTGTGAATATGCATTGAAGACCAGAATTTGGCCCTTTGTGTCTATGATTCTGAGAAAACAAAATGGATAATATATGAAATTCTGAAGCTAGTATATAGGAGAATTTACAATAGAAATGAAGTGAGCTCTCTATATAATATTGCATAAGTCATTGTCTGTGGGGAGCAACTGGGAGCAACTCGGACTAGACTAAGTTACTGGAATTAAGACTTATTCTATACATCTGCTCTCCCACAATATGGCGCTGGGAGAGGAGCAAACAGCTTCCACCCAGCTGCCTCTCACCAACTTGACAAGCTGCAGGACCTGCTCCTGATTGGAGGAGAGCAGCGTACTCGGCGTGTGGGTAGCAGAGTTGGGATTGGTGGAAGAGGACTATAAAGGAGGAGAGAGACAACATGCACCAGGAACATCTAAAGGGAACGTCTATCTGAAGGAACACCTGTGCAGCCCCCGAGAGAGCCGGCCGGCGGTGTGCCGCTCCCCCGCGGAAGTGGGGAAAGTGGCAGGGGGAACCGCCCTTCCACGGAGGTGGAAGTGTCGGTAGCCAACCCGGGAAGAACCAGCAGCAAACCCGGGGAGGGCCGAGCAGACGAAAGAACAGCGCAGGGTCTAGTGTCGCTCCTCCACGAAGAGGGGGAGCGACATAATGGTGCCGTGACTCGGATAGGAAACCTAGGCAGGATTTAGTGTCGTTCCTCCGCGAAGAGGGGGAGCGACAATTGTCTGCTAATCATTTAGAGACTTGGGATGCCTAAAAGCATCCTCCTTTGTCCACTCTGAGCTTCTGGCTTCCTTGATGTCCCAGAGCAAACAAATCCGTAAAAGGAAAGAACTTCTGATCTTCACTCTTACCTCAAAAGGCAAAGGGAAATGTCAAGAGTGGAGAAACGGAGATCCAGCTGACCTTCATCAAAGGGCACTGCATCTTTTATGAGTAAGGATTCTTGAAGTCAGTGTACCAATATAGGGGCTCTCTTCTTCTCACTCGCTCTGGCAAAAGTGAGAATCCCAAGAAAGGTTTTGGAGGAGCCTAACCAAGCCCTTTAGATGAAGTTTCAGCCCATTAAGAAATATTTGTTCATCACAAATTCAGGGCAAGATATTGGACTTGTTGCTGGGGATGCATTATGAATCAGACGTTGATATCACCTGCAAGGCTCTTCCAGTACAGTAGGAGACCTAAAGTGTGTTTATGGATCACTCCAATAGGAGGTGGAAATCTCAAGTGCCATAACACACTGCAGGTGCATTGTTACAAGAACTCAGAGGGAGAATGACCTCAGGACACACAGGTGCCTGCCAGTCATCCCAGTTTGCTTGCTGGCTTCATGCCTGGAATCCAGTGAATGTGGTAATGGGGTGACTCCTCTTCTGGCTGGGTGTCTGCTAAAGTGCTCTTAGCTTAGCTGCCTGAGTAGCCAGAGTAGCCACTCTGTGAGCAGGAATGTGATACCGCACCTTGAGAGAGAAACTGAATGCATGTTTTTAGGTGCTACAACTATCTTTATAATTTGACTATTTAATGCAAGCATCTTTGTGGTTTGTCTTCATGGCAGAACATTTTAATGATTCATTTTCTTAGTAAAGTATTATGCTAATTTTTTTCTCAGTATAGCCAGGAGTTGACTTGCTGCTTCAACAATAAATTAGCCTCTCTTAAGCATAAGTCAAAGAGTAAAAAACATAAAGAATACTATTGTGCAGTTCTGCAATGTCATTGGTAGTTAAATATATTTATTACTTTCAGAAATGTTACTTAACTTTTATACTCAAATTCTCCTAATTTGAAAAAGGCAAGGAAAAATCAGAGAATAATCAAATACTTGGTACATATCTCAAGATAACTATGTTTCCTATAGTTTATAGAAATTATTCCTTAACACCAAATAGTAATCCCTAGCCAGGAAAAAGGGATGAATAATTAAAGTTTTTCATACAAATTTCTCAACAAAATAGTTCTTAAGGTTAAAACAATTTATTGCTGAACTGAGAAATTGTAAGCCAAAGCCTACTGAAGGAATTCTGCATTTCTTAGGTGTTTTGAGAGTATCATTCAAAGAAGAAATTGCTGAATCTGTCCATGGAGTAAACCACCAACCATTGTCTTTCAGTTCTCAACACTTGGAGAAAACTAGAACTTAGAGAGTTAATATCCACTCCAACTTCATATATTCCTTCATGTCCTTCTTATTGTCTTTCTATTGAAATCAACTCCACTCCTCCATTGACAACTTTCATGTAGCTGTCATTTTGAGGAATGCAGGTAAGCCAGTTCTTAGAGCTTACCAAATATGAATCTTGTCTATAATGACCTTTATGCTGTACATTTACATTGGAAAACAATTAAAATTAATAGTCAACAGTGTGAAAATAATATGTTGCAGTTTGGCTTGGCTATCTTTGACTTTTGTTTGCCAGATTTCATTATTTAGTTTCTGTTGTACTCAGAATCTAGTCAACCATTCATGCATGTTCACTGCAAGAAACAGATTTGCAGGATGTTTGACAGGCCAGGGAAAGTGATAAAGCAGTGTTGTCAAACAGCTGCACAAAAGGCCTAAGGAGTACTAAGTGAGCCATCAATAAGTGATAACATCACTATAAATTATGAAATCAAAATATATTCAATGTAAAAACACTCAAGTCCTAGAATTCATAGAACTCAATAACTTTGAAGCCTGAGGATTTGTTTAAAAATTAAACTTCCAAAGACAAAAATACAAGTGTACTGATAACTGAGACTTGAGTTCTTACTATTGTTTTTAGACTCTGTGAGTTGGCTTACCATTGGCTCTCTTTTTGTTTTCCTACTCTGTAAAAAGGTATTGATGACATGTACTCTACTTAGCATTTCAGATTGCTGAGGGTGAAAGAAGGGTACTTATAGGGAAGAGCTTTGCATGACCTAAAGTACTCTGCAAACACTAATTCTATCCAGCCTCTGCACAGGGATCAGGGCTCAATAAATGCTTATGAAGAGAATGGATAGTGATCCCAATACACCTGAAGCTTGGAAACCATTAAAAATTACATCCATCTCAATAACCATCATGTTATTAGAAAATCAGTTTATTTTACAGGAAAACATGGGCAAGAATGACAAAAGGAATCATAACATAGTTTAGCTTTTCCAAGTATCTCTAATTATAGAGCATAGATAAGAATGTCATTCTGACACATGGACTTTGGATAATAAGCATCACTTTGACCTAACAATGTTCAACCTAAGTCTAAAAGCTTCTAGTTACTGTATGTTTCATTTTCTTATTGGTAAAAAAAAATCCTGCAATTTGATTCATTCAAAATATTTTCAAACAGTAAACCACATATAAATTACTATGCTAGGCCCTTTGGAAAATATTACTTGTGCCTGTTAGAGAATGGGAATGTCCTAAGTAGGGCAGGACATATACATTATTTAAGGAAAAAGTAAAACAGCTAGATTAATGCAGAGATGAGAGTTATAAGAGGTCATTTAGGGAAGGAGCAAAAGTATAGATAGGATTTGAACTAAGTGGAAGGGAGCTGGGCCTATAGAAGATTGATCAAGGCAGTCCTAATGGGTACATTCTGTGGTAGCTTTTGTCTGATGAAAGAAAAATTTAAAATTATTAGGAACCTTATATTTTGAGACTTGAACTAAAATATATGAAAAGTTTTGTCCCCATAGATTGTTTTTCACAAGATGGTATTTTTGAAACAGTTACTTAGTAATGTCCAGCCCTTGTTGTTTCAGGAGTTGAGATTTTTTTTTTCTTGAACATTTATTTATTTATTTTGAAAGTGTTACAGAGAAGAGAGATTGAGAGAGATTTTTCTATCCACTGGATCATTCCCCAGATGGCTGCAAGAGCTAGCTCTGGTTCATGCTGAAGCCCGGAGCCAGGAGCCAGGAGCTTCATCCAGTCTCCCACATGGTTAGTAGGGACCCAAACACTTGGACTATCTGCTGTGGATTTTCCTAGGCCATTAGCTGGGAGCTGGATCAGAAGTGGGGCAGCTGGGACTCAAACCTATACCCATACGGGATGTTGGCATCACAGGCTATGGCTTTTCCTGCTATGCCACAACATTGGACCCCTGACATGTTTTTACATTTTTGAAAAATTTACTTATTTGAGATACAGAGGGAACTTCCATCCACTGGCTCACACCCTAAATGCCAGTGGCTGAGTCTGAGCAATACTGAAGCTAGGAGCAGAGAAATCTATCCAGGTCTCTCCCCCATTTGGTTGACAGAAACCCAACTACTTCAACCATCACTGCTGCCTCCTAGAGTCTGCGTTAACAGGAAGCTAGAATCAGGAGCTGGAGCCAGAAATTTAACCTGGGTACTCTGATAGGAGATATGAGTAATGGAAAGGCCAAATGTTGATCCCCTAGAGCTGCTGTTATTGATTTCAGCATTTGCCCCTTAATTGATGAAGACATGTTAATTGATGAGACATGTTTATCTGTCTTTTAGAAGATCCCTAGTTTGACCTACCTACTGCTAACTTTTACCAGATTTTTCTGTGAGCACAAATTCATTGTTTAGAACCCAGTAGGACTGGAGCCAGCGCCTGGCGCAGTATGTTAATCTTCCATCTGCAGTGCCGGCATCCCATGTGGGTGCTAGTTCTAGTCCCGGCTGCTCCTCTTCCAATACAGCTCTTTGCTGTGGCCTGGGAAAGCAGTAGAAGATGGCCCAAGTCCTTGGGTCCCTGCACCCACATGGGAGACCAGGAAGAAGCACCTGGCTCCAGGCTTCGGATCGGCGCAGCTCTGCCTATTGCGGCCATCTGGGGAGTGAACCAACAGAAGGAAGACTTTCTCTCTGTCTCTCCCTCTCACTGTCTGTAACTCTACCTCTCAAATAAATAAATAAAATCTTAAAAAAAAACTCAGTCGGACTATAGATAATATTCTGGAAAGAATTCTGATACCTCCTTTCGCCACCCCAAACCAGATGTTCCTCTGAGATTCACTAGATGTTCTGCTACGATTTAAAAAGTACTGATGAAATTTTAAGCCATGAGAGTGCAGTTGTGTATTTCTTAGCTCTCTCTAGGAAAGTAAATGCAATAGAGTTTAATTTTATTCCATAGCTTCAACTTTGTATTTGTGTAGGTTTGTTCCAACTTCAAGTTGTCTTTTTAAAATTAAAAAATTCCTTATTTTTCACTGAAAATTCAAAGCAGGTATTATATTTTCTGAGACATTTGTGACAACTGCCTCCTCTCCACTACCCTCTCCAAACTGCTCCATTGGCCTAAGTGTCTACAAGTGGCAGCTCTCTACAGGGAATTCCTACCTGTTCTAGAAATTAGGACTCTCTTCTTCAGTAATTCTAGGAATCGGCTGTTCCTCAAATATCCAAAGACATTGCACATAAATACCTTTTATTGCCAGTTTTAGGTAAATCACTAGAACCAAGCACCAGGGGCTCATTCAGATGGGTGAGTTGTGAACAGTCAGTACAATGGAAAAACACAAAAAGAATCTTAAAAGATTGAATCTGAAAGGGTCAGAGGCCCCATGCCAAATCAAATTCATGTTGAGGAGGTTTGCTCCAGTTTTTCTTAGCTTCCAATTTGTCTCTTGTTTCTGCTCTGGTTCTTTGCAGGCTTGCCAAGTTTTATCACGAATCTTCCCCTTCTCAGCCCTTCATTCCTTAACTTCTCTGAGGCTCCTCTGCAGTCCAGCCAAAGTAGTGTAGAGTTAAACTATGTAATCAGTCAATTTTCCTTTGGTTTAAATTTTAAATTATTATAATTTTAATTGATATGAAGGTTCTACATGAAGGTTATCTTTGGCAGAGGACAATTTGATCTTGATTTGAGTTCTGGTCAAGTTAGACGAGTTTTGCTTCAATTTCCTCATCTGTAAGTGGGACTAGAAACAACTCATGGGGTTGTTGCAAAGATCAAGCGTCCTAATGTATATGAATATGCTCTATATTCTGTAATGTTCTAAATAAAACTTATTGAACAGTCCAAAGGGGGCGGGCTTTTGCTTGGAAAGAGGAAGCCAGGCAGTTTCCCCTAGGTTTTATTATTTACATGAGAAAAAAACCGTACAGGGATTTGCTGGGAACATCTAAGTAGGACAGAATATGCTAGTTCAATTGGAACATTTCTGGGATGTCTCCCTGGGGCAGGCTGGTTCCGTTGTTAAGAACACATTGCCTACACTGATTTCTCCTGTCACAGATGGTCAAGATACAGAAAGAGACTTTACAGTTTATCTTCCATCCATCTCGTTTCCTGATATACTGTTCAGTTCCCGTGCACAGAATTCTCTTGCGAAGTTCAGGGGCAACAGGAGTTTGTACAAAATGGACACCGTGCTTCTCTTTTGTACTTATATCTGCCTGTTAGTGACACTGTGTTCCTTTACTAGGTGTGTGCTGGACACAGTAATGACTCCCAACAATGGGGGCACAAGGCCAGCCCCATGATCACTTGACCTACTTTGACTTGGCTGCTGTATCAGTGTTTACCTGCTGTGCCAGCAGCAGCTCCAGAAGTAATATTGTTTCGATTCTACTGCTACGCCCTTTACCTTTCATATTCATAACAGCCTTTTAAATTAAGACATTTTCTTTCATAACGAAGCAAGGTTCTAATGTCTACAGATTACTATTCAGTTTGAGGTATACAGGGTATATATTAAGTACACCTACCTGCTAATTATTATGTATACTCATCTATATTTCACACAATTGCTGCACATCCATTAGGTTTGGGCACAGATATTTTCAAGGAGTTGACTGATTTATTGGGGCTACACTCATTTTTATTTTTTTGGCACTAGAGGGCTTCTTTACTAGTGATTGGAGTTTATTTCTAGTATTGCTTATAGAATGTGACTCCCTGAATTTAAGTCTCAGTTCCATTTTCTACCAAGAAAACTCAAGATTCAGAGTAATGGATATACCCTTGAAGTAGATAGCAGCATCATGATAGATAAAATGTGTAGATGTCTAAATTTTTAGAAATCTAACCTTTTTCTCTTTTCTTGGCTGTAAAATTGGGATACCTGAAAGGTGCTCCAGCTGCCATTAATTAAAACTGCGTCCAGTGTTTTTAAATGTTTAGTAGGCAGGAAGAGAGATCATGAGGAAGCTTATGATTTGGATGGAGATTTTGAAATTAATTCATCCAAAATCATGGATTGAAGATTGCTTTGGGTTTGGGCCGGTGCATTGGCTCAAACATGAAGGATACCGATCCTTCCTACATGAAAAACTTCTTGCTTGCCTGTGATGCAACCATTCTCCTG